AAACAAACAAACAAAGCCAAGACCAAACTCCCCCCCTCAACCATAATCACTCCACCTGTTTAATCAGCGCCGCCAAATACTCCTCCTCCTTAACCAAACAGACAAATACAAACAAACAAACTTCCCTTCACTCAAACAAACAGACAAAAAACAAAATAAAACAACCCCCCCATCAGCCATAATTACTCCACCTGTTTATTCAGCGCCGCCAAATACTCCTCCTCCTTAACCACACAGAAGCTTCCCCCGTTAGACAAATACAAACAAACAAACAAACTCCCTAACCCCCAACCTTCCCTTCACTCAAACAAACAAACAAACAAAACAAAACTCCCCCCTCAACCATAATTACTCCACCTGTTTATTCAGCGCCGCCAAATACTCCGCCTTCTTCCTTAACCACACAGACAAATACAAACAAACAAACAAACTCCCTAACCTCTACCTCTACCCCAACCCTCCCCTTCACTCAAACAAACAAACAAACCAAACCAAACAACCCCCCATCAACCATAATTACTCCACCTGTTTATTCAGCGCCGCCAAATACTCCGCCTTCTCCTTCGCCATCTGTTCGTCGAAGGAGTTACCCATCTCAAGGAGGGTCGCCTTGATGTCCACGTCTCCTGTCTCTAAGGCTTCCACGTCCTCCTTTTCTTTCGCCCTGACGGGGAGCGGGGGGGAGCGTGGTAAGAATGGGGAGGAGGAGGAGGGATGAGAGAGGAAGGAGGAAGAGGAGGAGGAGATATGAGAGGGGGAAGAGGGAGAAGGAGGAGGAGGGATGAGAGAGGGAGGAGGGAAAGAGGGAGAAGGAGGAGGAGGGATGAGAGAGGGAGGAGGAGGAGAAGGAGGAGGAGGAGACATGAGAGGGGAAGAGGGAGAAGGAGGAGGAGGAATGAGAGAGGGAGGAGGAAGGGGAGGGAAAGAGGGAGGAAAGAGGGAGAAGAGGGGAAAGAGGGAGAGGGAGGAGGGAAAGAGGGAGGAGGAGGAGGAGGTATGTGAGAGGGAGGAGGAGAAGGAGGAGGAGGTATGAGAGAGGAAGGAGGAAGAGGAGTAGGAGGAATGAGAGAGGGAGAAGAGAGGGAGGAGGAGGAGGAGGTATGAAAGAGGGAGGAGGAGAAGGAGGAGGAGGAGGAGGAGGTATGAGAGAGGGAGGAGGAGGAGGTATGAGAGAGGGAGGAGGAAGAGGAGGGAAAGAGGGAGGAAAGAGGGAGAAGAGGGAAAGAGGGAAAGAGGGAGGAGGAGGAGGAGAAGGAGGAGGAGGTATGAGAGAGGGAGGAGGAGAAGGAGGAGGAATGAGAGAGGGAGAAGGAGGAGGAGGGTATGAAAGAGGGGGAGAAGGAGGAGGCGGTATGAAAGAGGGAGGAGGGAGAAGAGAGTATGGGAGAGGAGGAGAAGGAGGAGGAGGAATGAGAGAGAAGGAGGAAGAGGAGGAGAAGGAGGGAGAAAAGGATATGAGTGAGGAGGAGGAGAAGGAGGAGGAAAAGGAGGGAATGAGAGAGAGAGAGAGAGGGAGGAGAAGGGAAAGAGGGAATGAGAGAGGCAGAAGGAGGAGGAGGAAGAGGAGGGAGAAGGAAAAGGAGGTATGAGAAAGGGAGGAAGAGGAGGAGGGAGGAGAGGGAGGAGGGAGAAAAGGAAATGAGAGAGTGAGAGGGAGGAGAAGAAATGAGAAAGGGAAAAGAAGGAGAAAGTATGAGAGAGGAAGAAGTGGGAGGAAGAATGAAAGAGGGAGAAGGAGGCGGAGGAGGACTGACAGAGAAAAAAGGAGGAGGAGGAAGAGGCATAAGAGGGGAAGAAGGAAGAGGAATAAGAGAGGAAGAAGGAAGAGAAATAAGAAGGAGAGAAGGAGAGAAGGAGGCATAAGAGGGTAAAAAGGAATAGAAATAAAACGTAGAGGAGGAAGAGGCTACGAATGGAAGTAAGAATGAAGAGAAAGGAGTAGCAGGAAATAAGAGGAAGAAGAAGAAGAAGAAGGGTGAGGGTAAAACCGTAGGGTGATAATTACGAGGAAGGAAGGGAGAGAGAAAGAGGAGGAAGGAGAAAGAGGAATAAGAGGGGAAGAAGAAGAAGGATGAAGAGGGTAAGAAATGAGGTAAGAATGAGGAGGAGGGAGAAGAGAGAATAAGAGGAGGGAGAAGAAGAAGTAGGAATAAAAGAGCGAAGAAGAATGAGGGAGAAGCAAGGGGCGTGATATGAAAGAGGAAGAAGGAGAAAGAGGAATAACAGGGGAGAGAAACAGCAATAAGAGCGGGAAGAAGAAGAAAAGGAAGAGTGAAAATATGAGGTAAGATTGAATAGGAGCGAAAATGGGGAATAAGACAGAGAAGAAGTAGGAAGGGGAGGATGAAAAATAGATGGTGAGAACGAAAAGAGAGAGAAGATGAAGAGGGATGAAAAAATAAGGGGATAAGAATCAGGGGAAAGGAACAAACACGGAGAGTGAATGAGAAGAAGGAGGAATTAGAAAAGAAGAAAAGAAAAAAGAGAGACAAACTTAGGGGGAGAAAGAGGAGAAAAAAAAAGAATAGTGACAAAAATGAAAGTGATGATGAGGGAAGAAGGGAAAGTCATAAGAAAGGAAACGTAAGGAGGAAGGAAGAAGAGGGGCGAAAACAAGGGAGAAAGATAACGGAAATAAGAGAGGAAAGAGAGGAAAAGAAAAGGGTAGAAGAAAAGTGTAAAAAAGAAGAAGAAGAAGAAGAAGAAGAAATGAACGTGGACGAAAAAAGAAGAATGGGAATTAGGAAGGAGAAAGCAATAGGAAATGAAGGAGAAGGAAGAGAATGAGGAAGAGGAGCAGAAGAAGGGAGGAGTGAGAATGAGGGGAATGGAATGCAGACGGAGGGGAGGGGAGGGGGAAGGTATAAGAAAGAGAGAGAGAGAGAGAGAGAGAGAGAGAGAGAGAGAGAGAGAGAGAGAGAGAGAGAGAGAGAGAGAGAGAGAGAGAGAGAGAGAGAGAGTGAGAGAGAGAGAGTGAGAGAGAGAGAGAGAGAGAGAGAGAGAGAGAGAGAGAGAGAGAGAGAGAGAGAGAGAGAGAGAGAGAGAGAGAGAGAGAGAGAGAGGGGGGGGGGAGAGAGAGAAAGAGAGAGAGAGAGAGAGAGAGAGAGAGAGAGAGAGAGAGAGAGAGAGAGAGAGAGAGAGAGAGAGAGAGAGAGAGAGAGAGAGATGGAGATTGATAGATAGATAGATAGATAGATAGATAGATAGACAGACAGACAGATAGTTAAATAGATAGATAGACAGAAAAATAGATAGATAGATAGATAGATAGACAGAGAGAGAGAGAGAGAGAGAGAGAGAGAGAGAGAGAGAGAGAGAGAGAGAGAGAGAGAGAGAGAGAGAGAGAGAGAGAGAAAGAGAGAGAGAGAGAGAGAGAGAGAGAGAGAGAGAGAGAGAGAGAGAGAGAGAGAGAGATGGAGATAGATAAATAGATAGATAGATAGACAGACAGATAGATAGATAAATAGATAGATTAATAGATAGATAGATAGATAGATAGATAGATAGAGAGAGAGAGAGAGAGAGAGAGAGAGAGGGAGAGATGGATATAGACAGAGAGAAAGAGAGAGAGAGAGAGAAAGAGAGAGTAACAAAAAGGAAAAGAAAAAAAAAAGATAAAGTGAAATGAGGTCTTGCCCGTGAGTCCCTGAACAGTCATTTCTTCTGTTTTGTTTTTTTCTAAAATCTTCCGAAATCTTCTAGAATCCTCTTGGACCGATTAGAATCTTCATCTCAGGGGATCATCGGAAATATTTAAAATTCCTCCAAGATTCTTCTTAAATCTTCCAAAAGAGAAATAGAAATAATAAAAAAAAAAAATCTGGAAATACTCTGCATATTCGAAATTCTTCCCAATAATGTTCTTGGAATTCTTAAAGAACTTTCTGGAAATTCTTGAGACTAATCCAAAGTTTAGAGAATCTCAGGGAATATTCCGGAATAACTCGAAAAAAAAGAAAGAGAAAGAAAGAAAGAAAGCGAATTCACTCAAATCTTCGGGAATTTCTTTTTTCTTTTGTCTTCTTTCCTGTTGACGCTGGGAAAGCTGTCAAGACTGAGACCCACAGAAGCCCTCACTCTATCTCCGGCGTTGGACCTCTGCTTGGCCCAAACACTCGGTTGCATTGACTGTCATCTATTTTTAGCTCCTTTCTCTTTGTTTTTTTTCTGTTCTCTTTCGTCTTTTTCTTTTGTTTTTGGTTTGTTTTTCGGTTTTTTCTTTCTTTCTTTTCTGTTCTTTTTTTCACTATTTTCTTTTCTCTTTTTTGTTTCCTCTTTATGCTCCTTTCTTCCTCTCTTTTCATCTGTTCTCCTATCTCTTCCATTTTCTTCTTTTCTCTTTTCCTCTTTCTTTATTTCTTTATTAACTAACGTATATTCTTTCCTGAAAACCGACAATAAATTGTGTCCTTTCTATTTTTTTCATTAATTTTCGGTGTTGTTCAGAGATGAACTTTGGGTTAATGACTCATGCAGTTTTTGTTTTGTTTATTTCTGACAACTATGTTTTTTTTCTGTTTTACCTGACATTGTGCTTCTGTTTAGGAATATACATTTGTGTATTGTTTTGTTTAAGTTTGTATGCGCATATGTTTATATGTAGATTTATATGCTTGTATTTATATGTATTTGTATTGTTGGTCATGAGTATGCGTATATGTTTGTATGTAGATTTATATGCTATGTGCTTGTATTTATATGCATCTGTATTGTTGGTCATGTGTATGCGTATATGTGTCAGAAAGTGCATACGTGTATATGTATATATATATAAACAGACAAGTGCATGCACCAAAATGACTATATACAGTATTTTATGCTCCAGGATGTCTTTAGATTATATATAGCAGTTAACAAATGTGCTGTTACAACTACGAATACTTACCAGCATAAGTAACAGTGCATACGGTTATGATGGGAAAAAATGAAGTGGGGCATTTCTAAGTTTCTAAGTATCTCGTAATACTACATTCATTGTAGTAAATCAGAATACAATTGATTCTGTTGCAGGAGAGTTTGTTCAGGTAGTCTCTAAACCTCTTGTGCATTTGCAACATTCTGTTTAAATGTAATTAATGATACTTAGAATACCAAGTTGCAAATGATTTATGAATCATATTGGAAATGTAATCAAACCACCAATGGAACTACTTTTTAAAACAAAAGTAGAATCGTTCATACGGTGATACATTATGCAACATATCGCCACAGAACAATTTAGAAACTTCCTTATAGGGTTTCATGCACAAGAAAGTTAGTGTTTGCTATTATTATTCAGTCATTGCACATGATCAATGTAAGTGTATTTCTTCCTTTTATTTTCATCTTCGAGAGATCAGTTAACTCGACAATATTTTGACTTTTTTAAATTGATATTTTTTTTGATAAACCTCTCGAAAATGTTGAGGTAAGAATAAAACTTTTATGTTTATTTTCTCTCTCTTATTTCTTACTTTCACTGTCTCTGTGTGAGTGATGGTGCTTATGATGATGAAACTACGTAAAGCCTGTTTCAATAGTGAGACATAAGCCATCTACTTTTCTCATGCTTTGTACATACATTAGACTTTTTTTGCCAGTACTACTAAGGCAGTTCCTATGTCTTTCTATTATTCTTAATCATTCACGAGTGCTTCGGCCAAAACTCAAGGAAAAAATAAAATAAAGCATGATAACCACTGCTTTGCCAGGAACATCGCAGAGCACAACTACCCTCCTCTACCTGTTTGTTGGCACTGTCGAGGTATTTCTCCTGGTCGGGGGTCAGGGGGTCTTCCTGTATCCCGTTTTCTATGAAGAACTTCCGGGTTTCCACAGAATCTTTGGTTTTTTCGCCATAGGAGGAACTGTTCCAAATTAATTTTAATAAAAAGGAACACGGGATGAAGATTCAGTTAAAAAAAGCGAGTGATGATGATGATGATGTTAAGATTGAAAGATTATAACAGCATTGAGGTTAAGATAAAAAAGAGATAGAGAGACAGATAGGATATATTTATGCCTTAAAATCTAATTTTTAGATTATTTAAATATAGAGAGATCTAGATTTTAGATTATTTAAATATAGAGAGATACACACTGAGAAAATGTAAATGGTAATTTTTGATAATGACATAGTTATAATTAATATGAAATTTGAACTTATGTAATCATTACCTTTCTTAGATTCTATGAACTGGCAGGAATAAAAAAAAGGAAATTGACATTGATATTAGAAGATAAAAATAGGAAAAAAGTAGTAATAATTATAAAAATGATAATAATGATAATGGTGATAATATTGATAGTGATGATGATGATACTACTACTACTACTACTAATAATAATAATGATAATAATGATAATAATAATAATAATAATGATAATAATAATAATAATAATAATAATAATAATAGTAATAAGGATAAATAATAATAACAATAATAATAAAATAATAACAACTACATTAGTAACAATAATAACAATAATAATAAAATAATAACAACAACAACTACATTAGTAATAATGATAATAAAACTAATAATAATAAGGATAATAGCAACAACAACAATAATAAAAACAACAACTACTACTACTACTAAAAATGAAATGATGAAAACAATAAAAAGAAAAGATAAGAAAAAACACATAAGCACAAACATTTTTTTCTTAAGTCTCCCGCCAAGATTCAAAAAAACCTCAATCACCACTCTCCTCCAAGACACCTACGTCTCTCTCTCCAGGTTTTCGAGGTTGACCTCCATCTCCTTGATCTCCTGCGTGATCTTAGCGAGCTGCTCGGACTTGAGCTCAAGTGGTTGCAGAGGGTTGCTCGCCTCCTCCTCTGCAATCTCGCGCTCAAGCTTTATATAAGCTTCCAAGGTCGACCGGTCAACGGAGACCTGGAAGGAGAGGGAGCGTTAGGATAAATATTATGGGCGAGACAGAGAGAGAGAGAGAGAGAGAGAGAGAGAGAGAGAGAGAGAGAGAGAGAGAGAGAGAGAGAGAGAGAGAAGAGAGAGAGAGAGAGAGACAGAGAGAGAGAGAGAGAGAGAGAGAGAGAGAGAGAGAGAGAGAGAGAGAGAGACAGAGAGAGAGAGAGAGAGAGAGAGAGAGAGAGAGAGAGAGAGAGAGAGAGAGAGAGAGAGAGAGAGAGAGAGAGAGAGAGAGAGAGAGAGAGAGAGAGAGAGAGAGAGAGAGAGAGAGAGAGAGAGAGAGAGAGAGAGAGAGAGAGAGAGAGAGAGAGAGAGAGAGAGAGACAGAGAGAGAGAGACAGAGAGAGAGAGACAGAGAGAGAGAGACAGAGAGAGACAGAGAGAGAGAGAGAGAGAGAGAGAGAGAGAGAGAGAGAGAGAGAGAGAGAGAGAGAGAGAGAGAGAGAGAGAGAGACAGAGAGAGAGAGAGAGAGAGAGAGAGAGAGAGAGAGAGAGAGAGAGAGAGAGAGAGAGAGAGAGAGAGAGAGAGAGAAAGAGAGAGAGAGAGAGTAGTACAAAAAGATAGGTACATGAAAAAAACCCTTTGATATACAGCAACTGAGAAAAAGAACGATAAATAAGATTATGTGCCGGATCTGAAGGCAAAGGGAGTGTTAATCTAAATTTGGTTCCATGTTTATTTGATCTTCTGGAGATTACATGCATAAATTAAGATAAAGCATCCAAGACCGGAAATGGTATATTCATTTAACAAACAGGTCGGAGGAGAAAGGGGTGCTTAATCTAAAGCACTGGAGGCTGTGTTGTAGATGTTTTATTTACTTATCAGTTATTTCCAAAATAAAAGGGATTATTAATCTAAAACTCCAATGGAAGTGAATGAATTGCTCGTTTAGCAGACTTGAATTCAAAATGAATGTTAGAATATAAATTTGACGATCCTATTGCTTAATGTAGCCTCTGAACTAATCTCAACTTTGTTCCAACTTTTATGGACAAACAGCTGAATTGTAAGCAGTTTTAGATGAATGCTCCCTTTCTCACTAGATTCGATAAATTAAAATGGATAGTTTTTCCGTCCCCACAGTAATTGAATTAATGATCTTTTACTTCAAAACAAAAACAGTTATACCATATGCTGAATATAACCTCAAGGAACATGAATATTATTCTATGAAGTGGCAAACTCTCTTTTTTTATTACATCAAATGAGAAAGGAGGTTTTACTTTAACTCAAACTCAGTTATTTAACTCAAACTGAATCCCAATCTCAGGTATTTAACCTGAACTTAGTTATTTAACCTAAACTCAGTTATTTAACCTAAAACTCAGTTATTTAACCTAAAACTCAGTTATTTAACCTAAAACTCAGTTATTTAACCCAATCTCAGTTATTTAACCCAAACTCAGTTATTAAACCCGAACTGTTATTTAACCCTGACTGTTTTTTAACCCAAACTTACTTATTTAACCAAAACTCAATTATTTAACCCAAACAGTTATTTAACCTAAAATGTTAATTAACCCAAACTCAATTATTTAACCCAAACTCACACTCAGTTATTTAACCCAAACCCAGATGTTTAACGCAAACTCAGTCTTTTAACCCAAACAAGAAAAGAAAGAAAGAAAGAAAGAAAAAAAACACTTAAGAGGAAAACCTGAAAAGAAGGAGCGCCGTTGTTCAATTGTTCACTTTGCATGATCAACAACGTCGATATTGCGGTTCAGTTAAGTGCTTGGGCGGGCGAGTCACTGATGCTGTTTGTGCAACTTGCAGTGTGTGGAAGATGAGGTGATGCATTGTTGGGGAAAGAAAGATGGATATAGATTGATAGAAATATATATATAGAGAGAGGGGGAGAGAGGAGAGGGAGAGAGGGGGGAGGGAGGGAGGGAGGGAAGGAGGGAGGAGAGATAGATATATATTATCATCATATATATGGTTATCATCATTATTGTTATGATCAGTATCATTGTTATTATTATTATGATTATTATTATCACTATTATTATTACTATTATTATCATTATAATTACTATTGTTATGATCAATACTATTATCAGTATCGTTGTTATCATTATCATCATTATCATAATTACCTTCATCACTATTATTATTATTGCAATTATTTTTATTACTATTATTATTATTATTATTGTTATCATCATTATCTATATTAATATTATGTGTTATTATTAATACCATTATCCCATTTTTAATATTGTTATCATTATTATTATTGTCCTTATCCTTTTTATCAATATTATTATTATAACTTTTATAATGATAGTAATGATAATAACAACAACAACATCAACAACAACAACAACAATAATGATAATAATTATCATTATAATCATTATTATTAGTGTGTGTGTGTGTGTGTGTGTGTGTGTGTGTGTGTGTGTGTGTGTGTGTGTGTGTGTGTGTGTGTGTATGTGTGTGTGTGTGTGTGTGTGTGTGTGTGTGTGTGCGCGCATGTCAACAGTATAAGTCAACTTCATAAGGAAACACTTCATCACCTCAATGAAATGGATTCGAATTCCTTATCTACATCAAAGGTTACCCAGGAACTCCCATTCCCTTGCTATTTTTTCTCGCTGTCCTCATCATGAAATGTATCCTAACTTAAAGAAAAGAAAAGGAAAAAAGAGAGAAAAAAATATCCAAGGTTTCACGTGGCAAAGGACAGCTGAGAGGAAATTAAACTCACACACGATAAAAGACAGTAACAACGACAACAGCAAAAAAAAACAACAACAAAAAAAAAAAAAAAAAAAAAAACACAAAGAGCTAATGACTGTGTGTTTACTCAGCTGACACACCGTATCTTGTTTCTTTCACGGGTAACGTAAACAATATAAGATCCTGTGGTGTATTTGCATTCATTGATCATTATTATGATTGATTATCTTTTTTAATGATCTGATCCTCCTGTCATTTCTGTATCAGATGATAGTAAGATCAGAGATAAATTGACTGAAAAACTTTAGAAAGAAGAGAAAATAATTTTTTAACCATTTACAGTAGTGTAGAAGAAAAAATTATCATCAAGATCTTAAACTGATCATCCGGTATTCAAAATCAGCCACGCATATCATCTCTGAAATAACTTCTTCGGCTTAATATAATCTGCGAAAAGTTCAAGGAATTGCATGTGAATTTGAAATGATCACGGGCAGATGTCAAAATGATTAGGATGGGGTGACACGAGCTGGCAGAGAGAATATAACACGTTCATTTAACACAGAATAAATTACTAGAGGAAGGGTCCATAGGGGTTGGATTCATGTGGGTTAATGGCTTGATTTGGGTTCAGTTCATATGGTTAAAGGGTTGATATGGATTGAGTTCAAATGGATTACAGGCCATGCGTTGACTATTCTATGGGATGTGTTGTCGAGTTAAATAAGTGTCATTTAGTCATGCAATAAAACAGAATTCATTGCCACTACACAATACACACAAAGACCTTAACATTATAAACAACGAGACATACCTTAATTTCCATATACATTAATAAAAAAGAAGGAAAAACATAAAAGCCATATGAAGCATAAAGGAGAAACAAACCATGATTGACCAACAGCAATTCATAAAACTTACGTCCTTGGCAATGGGTTCTTCCTCTCCCAATCCACCCTGTGTGTTTGCAGTCGATTGAGGACGTGAGGCGGTACATTGGGGTGACGGTGCCAGGATGGGAAATTGGTTGTTTTATTATTCAGATGAATGGAGGGAAGATGGGGGGTGGCTGGGTAAGTGGGTAAGTGAGTGGGTGAGTAAGTCGGTGAGTCGGTGAGTGAAAAGGGAGGGAGTGATAAGCCATGAAGATGAAATCTTTCAGATGAAACACGAAGACACAGAACACAAACAGAAAGAGAGGCCGTGTAGGGTAGTGAGAGAGAGAGAGAGAGAGAGAGAGAGAGAGAGAGAGAGAGAGAACGAGAGAGAGAGAGAGAGAGAGAGAGAGAGAGAGGAGAGAGAGAGAGAGACAGAGTGGACAGAGAGAGAGAGAGAGAGAGAGAGAGAGAGAGAGAGAGAGAGAGAGAGAGAGAGAGAGAGAGAGAGAGAGAGAGAGAGAGCGAGAGAGAGAGAGAGAGAGAGACGAGAGAGTGAGAGAGAGAGAGAGAGAGAGAGAGAGAGAGAGAGAGAGAGAGAGAGAGAGAGAGAGAGAGAGAGAGAGAGAGAGAGAGAGAGAGAGAGAGAGGAGAGACAGAGTGAGAGACGGTAAGGTTACACACAGAAAGATAATAAAACGAAAGAAAGGTGTCAGGCAGGGATGGAATACAGGTGTTACACATACAATAAGGCAATAATGAAATAAACAATTACACAAGAAAATAACGATTGTGATGTTGTATGCAACATACATATACATATATATAAATATGTACAAATGCAAATTATTGTTATCAAGCAACTACTTATGAAAACTAATGAACTATGAAGCAGCTACAAGCTACAAGTTCCTGTGTATGCCCATGCTCATGTTACTGCTATTTCATGTTATTTACAAGTTCTACGCAGAACAGACAAGTACTAGACTTACGTTCTTCATGCTGCCGTTGTTGTTGTTGTTACCGTACATGGTTACGTTGGAGCTCTGCGTCGTCATGAATTGGCTGTTGTGTGGCGACGACTGGAAGAAAAACAGGGCGAAATTTATATCTGATTGTGTATATATATATATTTTTTTGTTTTTTTCATAAATGGATTAAAGTGTGTGTGTGTGTGTGTGTGTGTGTGTGTGTGTGTGTGTGTGTGTGTGTGTGTGTGTGTGTGTGTGTGTGTGTGTGTGTGTGTGTGTGTGTGTGTGTGTGTGTGTGTGTGTGTGTGTATGTGTGTATGTGTGTGTGTGTTTGTGAGTGTATGTAGAAGTGTGCGTTTGTGTTTGTATGTGTGTGTTGTGTGTGTGTGAGTGTATGTGAGTACGTTATGTTTGTGTATATGCGTTACAAAGAACTGTATTAACACACAATTTGAAGAAATATAAAATAATCATATAGTGTGCTCATAAGGAGAAAATGCTGATTTTAAGCTAGTAATTTTACATCCTTTTAATTATTCATAGCTCTAGAAACAATATCAACAACAAAGATGCCATTGAAAAATAACGATCAGGGGATATGGGATTGGCAGCAAAACTCTACGGCATCCGCACACCACATTTAACTACCAGAGGCCTTCTGATATCATTTGCAATATTTCCTGCACCTTTGTCTAGAGTGATTTATTTGTTATTTTTTTACACTAAGTACACAGAGTGATATCTAAATGTAACTGTAAGAACATTAATGATTGTGAAATAGATACCGTTCCCAGAAGTAGCTGTAGCATTGGTAATGTTATTGATGTTCATAATAATAATCATGATGATAGATATTGTATAAGCGATGGTGTGTGATTATATCAGTGAGGATAATTATGATGATAGCAATTAATTGAAAACGCTAACAATAACAATAACAATGGTAAAAATAATGGACACGATAGATATAGACAGATAGATATATCGATACGTAAACGAGGTGAATATGAACGAATAAATGTATAAAAAAAGAAGACAAATATAGAGATAG